CTGGCAATCTCCCCCGTCACCACACAACCGGCTCAGCCATGTGGGTGTAAGCAGTGAGCCGTAAGCGCGAGCTCAGTCGTTCCAATAGCAAAAAAAAGAATGCACTGGTGATGATGCTGGTACAATGTCAAAGAGTAGCATTGCATTGTCCTTCCACGCATCCGCCCGCCCCATTCCCCCCGGCTTTTCCCGCGCGACTACGAAAAAGAGGGAAGGCGACGGTGAGAAAGGGGAACAGGGCCCTCAGATTTTCGATCCATCGTACACGGACTCCCAGAGCGACATCATATCCCTCTGCAAGACCCATTCCACTTCCGGGTCCCGCTCGTCCCTCGTGCTGCCTGAAGTCACCTCGCGATGAATGGAAGGCGCGAGCGGCACACGTGATGCTGTGCGACTGCCTCTCGATGCAGGCGTCTTCACCAGCCCGAGTGCCGCGTAGTCGTTCAACACCTCCTCCGGCACGCCCCGCTCTCCGGCACAAGAACCCAAAAATGGCATCTCCGAGGGAGGAAACGATCGTGACCGCAAACACAGCTGTGAGGCCACATGACGCCGCTGCTCAACTTCTTCCTTCAGCCGGGCCCGATCGGCGATACGCTGTTGTTGCTTGTCCAAGTGGCGCCGTATGTTTCTCGCCTCCAGGTGTTCCCGGCGCCAAAGCGCCCGCTCCCGTTGCTCCATCTGCACCTCCTCTTCTACTCGCTGCTGCATCTGACGGGTCTTGATGACCTCCTCACGTATGACCTTTTCACGCTCGGCGTCGATATCCGCCTGGCTGCGGCGCGACACCGCCTTTGCACGGGGCGCTTGTCGCTGCTTTTCACGCAGGCGGCGATGCTCTGCCTCGCGACTCAGCCTCCCCCGCTCCATGGACGCCCGTATTCCCCTCCTGTAGTATTCCCGCATTTCCGCCTCCCTCCGGACCTCCTCCTCTTTCTGAAGTCGTGCCTTATCAAACATCGCCATCTCCCCCATCGCCCCGGTTAGCTCTGAGGTCAGTAGCGCCATCGCCTCCCTCCACTGCCGCTCAACACGCTTCGACGACCGCATCGCCTGACGCGACAAGAAGGCCAAATGCTCCGCACGCCCCTCGCAAGACCGCAAGAGCAACACCTCGCGTTCTTTCTCCAAGGCCTCACGCCGTGGCAATTCTGCCGCTATGCGTTCTCTAATGCCAGCCAGTCGCTTCTCCTTTAGGTACGAACGCCACGCCACCGCCAACGACCGTCGCTGCAGAAAACCACGCCCCGCTCGTGCTATGCGCTGCGCCGATTCACTCTTTGCCAATTTGCCCAGCGTCTGCAACGCCCGGAGCGTGCTCGAGCGCAGAAACACCTTGCTGACTCCAAGCAACAAAGCCCCATCCATACAGCACGGAAGAAACTCGGTCGCCAAAATACAGGCCTCTCGAAAGCGTGCGGCGTAGACGGCGGCATCAAATGCCGCACCATTCTGTAATCGGGTCTGCTTACTCAACAAGGGGCACAATGGAGTTTTTTCGGTTGCTCCTCGTGAACCAGAAACATCAATGTCCCTCCCGATGCCAACCTGCTGAAACGCATCACAGCAGTAACCTCGCACCGCAAGAGAAAGGTACTTGCGCGCAAAAGACTTGTAGCTAAGACTCTGGCAGTAGCCCTGTCCAAACAACATGAGCGAACGCAAAATTGCTCCATACTTCAACTGTGCAAGAACAAGGGTCGCGTCAAATTCATGCGGACTTTTATGCCTGTTCGGTTTAATACATCTAATCCAGAAGAGTGTGGAAAGCTTCAGCCTCGTCATGAGCAACTCCATTTGCGAACGAAACTGCTCAATTAGCGTGGTGGCGTACGAACTAGGGGCAAGCCCACCTCTGATGCCCCCCTTCATCGGTGACCCACACTGCGCTGTGCGGCTCACAGAAGCGGCAGCAGAGATATCCTGGAGAAATCCATTGCGGCTTGCGGTGCATATCGACTCTGCCGCGGTAGAGATGCGGTTTTTTGCAGACATGCTACCGGTGTCGTATACCACAGTCGCACAGAAGTGCTGGAGCGACACTTTGGCAGGACCTGATCGATGTGGTCGCACTAAACCCGGAAAACGTTTTTGGAGGGAAATCAGCGATGCGGCCAAATTAGCCCCGCTTTCCGGACGGGAGCGCTGGGCAAGAAGACTATCATCATTGATGATGCTCAGCACTCCCTGCGGACGTTGCACAAGGAGCTCAAAGGTGGAACCGCGCTCCAGTCTCCACTCGGACGGCAACTCCATGTGAACCCCCTCGCGCCTTGCCTCGGCAAACAAGCTGTCAAACGTCGTCTCTTCATACAAACGCTGCACCGTCTCATTCGCGTAGTTGATCAACAGCTGCTCTAGTTCGTTGCTGCCGCATGCGTCCTCCTTGACTTCAAAGCCAAAGATGTCCAGTACGGTAAACTCGCCACACCCCGCCTCCACCTCTGCAGTCGATGGGCGCAGCGCCTCATTGATGCCGCGCAGAATGTACTGAAAAAGGGACTCGTAGAGGTGTTTTGCAGTGGAGTCGCGCGCCACCTCGGCCGCCCCACAGTGCAGCTCCCGCACCTCGCCTCCCAGTCGCACCGTCGTGAGGAGCGTCGCCAGAGAGAGGTGGGGCTCCGTCAAGGAAAACCCAAGCAGCCGCGAGGCCGTCTCCAGTGCGGGGACCGAGGCAGGGGCAACAGAGGCGGGGGCAAACAAATCGCGCGCCGTAAACTCGATATTCAGCAGGTGGAGCACACCACACAACAATTGCAGAACCATTGCCACTTTATCGTCATTAAATCCAATCCACCTCAGGGCCACACGAAACTGCGCGAGCGTGTACGGGGGAAAGCTTAGCGAGAGCTCATGCGCACCAGACTGCATTGCACGGAAGAGAGCCGGGTCCCATGTGTCAAAGCGCTCTCGCTCCTCCGGTGTTAGTCCGTGAGTTCCGTCAAAGAGCGTGTTAAAAATGTGGAACGTGGACTCACCTGGTGGGCGAGCCGCCAACCGAGATACCTCCAAGAGGAAGCACTCAACTTTGGCGCCAACGCCTTCTCCGGTGCGTGAATTTACAAAAATCGTGACACACTTTGCAAATCGAGAGGAGTTGTTATTCAGCGGCGTCAAGGCGTTTCCAAAAGACTCAAGTAGACAATTTGTTGCGTCAAGGATATGCAACAGGTGCCCAGACACAGAGGCTGCAGGAGACGATGAAGTCTCCTCCGTGCCAGGGGCCCGTTGAGTAAGCAGATGTTGAAGAACAAGCTTTGCAGTTTCCGTCTTCCCTGCCCCACTATCGCCTGTTACAACAAGGGCCACTGGGCTTGGCGGTAAGGTGGCATCCAGTTCAGTTTCTGGGGCAGCTCCATCACCGTCGTTTTCCCGGCTCTGAGTGCGGACTTGCGGCACACATAGCGCCTCTCTCATTGCTGCCACAATATGCTTTGGGTGTGGGGCATGCGGCGGATACACCGTCCGCTGGTACGGATTCACTGCCAGCAAAACTCGGTCCGTAAAGGTGTAGTGTAATCCAGCAGAATATCGCTCTTGTAAAGAATAAAGCAAAGCCGCATCGCTCGGCTCGGGTAATTTACACAAATCATTGAGGTCTAATGGCGATCCTTCATAACTGTACCGGCGCACGCACGCTAGTGTTGTATGGACACGACCTCCACCCAAAACACCTCCGCGACCAACCCTTTCTACCACAACAACACGATCGTCTGTCTTCATAGTGTTGCCTCCCGTCCCCCCATTGGCGGTGGCCGTTGGCAGAACCTCAACAACTCTCCCCAACTCCCACGCTGCGGCGGAGGCGGCCCCGGAAGACCCTGCCGAATTCGGCATAAAGAGCACCTGAGCTCCAGGACTCCACTCAGCCTCCACTGAGGGCGCCTGAGACGACGTTGGGGGCACGGCCTGGGAATCGCCTCCGTGCAGAACGGCGTCGCGGTTCGCGCCGGCCCTGCTGTCGCTCTCGTCGCTGGATGATGAGACGTACGTCACCGACCCCGCCCGTCCGCCATGGCGCATCGCCAAATCCGCGCCGCTGCGAGTCGCGCAGAGAAAGCAAAAGCCAGGGATCGCAGCAGCGAGAAAACGCACGCAGACGCGCAGAGAAAAAAAACCACGCTGATAGAAAAAAACAAAAGGAGCGGAACACAAAACGCATGCACCAAATAACAAAGATGTCAAACCAACAAGACACAGGGAGAGAAAATGGCAGGGCAAAGCAGTGGAGGGAGAGAGAGAAGGAAAAAAATGGGCAGGCATCGGTGCAGATGCAGATGCAGAAGCAGGGAAGGCCGGCACAAAAGCTGCTGGCAGCTCCACCATTCCCCAGAAAGGGGCGTTCCGAGAGGAGTAAGCGCCCTTTCCTCTGCTGCTGCAGCGTCATGAGACAATTGAGCAAACAAACAAACAAAAAAAAATTTCCCAATATTCATATTGAAAAGCAAGATGATTTTAGGGTCTTTATTCGTCTCCTCCCATGAAGGATGCCGCATCGGCGGCGAAGCCCGCACTTGAGGGACGCTGCAGAAAACGCAAAACAAAGAGGCCGTTGAGAAATTCACCGCATCTTCGGCGTCATTGAAAAAATAGAAAAAATAAGAAAAAAGGCTCGCCGCTCCTCCACCGCCGCCAGAGTCACCGGTGAGCCCGCAGAAGCAATGCTTCGAAAGGACGGGGGAGCGCGACGGTGCGCGGAGGTTCAGGGGGCGGCTCAAGAAAAATGTAACACGGCATCGCGGCTCCGTTTTGTGAGATGTTGTGCCCCCCCCTCTCTCCCCTCTCCAACGTTCATGTCCTTCAGTCGTCCATCCTTCTTGGCCAGGCAGCCTCAAGGCCCTGCCGACCTTTTCCCTCTGTGCACCTTCACACGGTCCCCGATCGCCCAACCGCACACAACGGGGGGAATCGTGCCCCCTACGGCCAACTGTCGCATCCTAACAGAGTGACCGAAACGGTACCGGAGTGTTATTGCGGCGCCTTAGTCTTTATTATTATTATTTCTTTCTGATGAGGAGTAGCTGACAACTATTGCCTTCACTGCCGTCCCGCCAACGTTTTCTATCAGAAACAGACAACATTTATAGGAAAAAATCTGCCGAAATAGAAAAGAAAAAGAGAAAAGAAGAAAAGAGGCACACTATTATTTCAACAAACCTAGTTGGTTCTCACTGTTTTATCGTTCTCTCTCCTTCTCCCCGACCCACCCCAAAGGTTCCAGTAAAGCCTCGTCTCCCACGGGGCTGAAGCAAATCAGGCTGCTATCATGATATAACGATTTGCGAGTTATTTTGATATGATGCAATCCGCCATGTGACGCCAAGCAACAAGGACCACAGCGCCCCCCTTCCACTTCATGGGGCTGCTGTTTCTCCAAAGTTGTTGTCTTCATCAATGGCTGTACATCGTCTTCAGAGACATAAACTCCGACGCCTTTTTCGCTTCCTCTTCGACATGCGGGTACGTGATTAATTTTGCATATAAAAGCATATATATATACGGGTGTGTGTGTGTGTGCGCGCGCGCTTTTGTACACGAGCAACCCCATCCTTTTTCGTTCACCAGTGCCCCACTCTGCCGCAACATGCATAGGCGAGGGAACTCTTCCCACACTCCTCGAAGAAAAAAAGAGTTTTTTTTTTGTTGTTGTTCGTGGTTGTTGTTGGTTTTTTTTTCTGCCTCTTCTTTGGCCTCCTTTTTGTTCTTCGAGGTCGTTGCGTGGATCTGGTAGCTCCTCCACAACGTCCTACGCAGTTCTCTTCCCACAACTATGCTTGCACCACGCCGCGCGCAGACTTGGCTTAGTAGTGAACTGATAGAGAAGTTCCCCTCACTTACCAGTTAATCATTGCTTCAGATAATTGCCGGGGATCATGCTCTTTTTTATATATCATTTTATTTCCTCCTGCCCGCCTTTGTCTGTTCCTTTTCGTTATTTATTTCCCCCCCCCCCCCCTTCTTCTCCCTCTCAGCCTTATTCTTCCCTCAACTGCCATTTATTTGCCTACTTACTCTACCTCCGTTGTTCGTGCCCTCCCTCGTTTGTTTGCTCCTCTGTTTTTTTTTTTTACTTGTGCGCAAAGAGTGCGTGCACCTCGCCTTTTTTTTTTCCTTCACCACCACTATTTCGTGTGTAGCTGTGGGCAAGCGCCTCTGTGCCTGTTACCCGTCGCAGGGCACTACCCGTCTGCACCCCTGCCTGATCTCTGGTCTCCTTTTCCCTTCTTCGCAGCACCCACCCACACCCTTCGTTGCTTACTGGAGCCGCTCTCTGCGCCGCGGTGTCGCCTGCCTCCTACCCAGGCGAAGACGCACGCCCCTCCCTCCTCACCCACACCTCCGTGTCTTCGTTGCCTCATCGCACGCAAGCGTGGCGAAATTGGGCCTCAGCATCGTTCCCTCCTCCTTACTGGCATCCGCCGTCTTTCTTTTTCCCCTTTTTTCTTTTTTCTTTCATTGCTTTGCCCCCCGTCAAGTTTTGCTCCGCCGCCGTACTTCACCGCCTTGCGTGTGCCGTGGAGTTCAGCGTAAGGGGAGTCGGCAGTCCACACATCAAGAAACAGTCAAACACGGGGTCACACAGACACACACACAAAAAAAAAAGCGCGTGCGTGCCGCTCCGCAGCCAATGGTCAGGTTGCGCCGCCCACCCACTCCCCTCGGCCCTCTCCCGCAGTGCTGCTGCTGATGCTGCTTCTCGTTGCTCTCCCGCGCACGCCCCGCGGAGTGAGAATAAAAAAAAAACTTGACGACGCCGTCGCCGCAGAAAAGATTCCATGGGGTGGAGCGCGCCGAAGCAGACGCAGCACTGCGGGAAGGGGAGGCACAGAGTCCGCGCCAGTGATGGCGTGAAACGAGGAGAATCGAAACCAAGAAAGAAAGAAAAACAACAATAAGAAGGCTGCGATGACGACACCTCACCAGCAAAACGAAAATCATAGGGGGAAAGGGGAGGAAGTGGGAAATGGCCATCAATCGCGAGCAACGGCGGAGACGGATAGCGCTGAGGAGGCGCAGAAAATGGGATATGGCACCCACACCCACAGAGAAAGGTGCCAGTGCCCCTTTGCGAACCCTTCATATACATCCAGCGTGTGATTCAGCAAGCGCCACGAACACGCGTCGTCATATTTTTATATCCCCCCACCGCAAACTCCTCCCCGCCGCCCTCGTAAAAGTGTTGCCTGCCAAACTTTCATGGCGCCGGTCAGTTCTCACACCCCAACGTCCAAAAAGGCGAAGAGAAACAAAGCGAAAAAAAAAAGAATCAAAAAGGGAAAATAAAAGCAAAGCTATTCTAACGAACGAACATGAGCGGCGTCAACGCTTGTAAAGAAAAGGTTGAAAAATGGCGGCGCTTCAACGAAGCACGCGCCGAAGGCTGGGAAAGCAGAAAAGTACAAAAAAAGGCATTTTGAGCTCAAACCAGTGAAAAGAAGGGGCTTTTTAGCACATTTCTTTCAATTCTTCCTGTTGCCCTGATGAATATTAGAAGACGCGGCGAAGGCAAGAAAGAATACGAGCAAGCCCAGTAAAAAAAAGTGGCTGAAGATATATATATATATATATAAACGACAGTCAGTGAGAATAATGTTTGCTGTATTTGTTGCTGTTTCCCTTGGTAAGGCAAGAACTCCCGTCGCCTCTCTTCGCACAGTGTCTTTGAAACTCGATTATTCCCCGCCCCCGCACCCACGCACACAAAAGCGCGCACAAACACACATGCACCACAATA